TTTACACCCGCGGACGAAACGCTTTTCCTAAAAGAAATCACACAGCCGCTAACTTAACACACTTTGAACAATATACCCGTCCGCTCTCTGAACAGGAATGGATGTGTTTTCAGGCACAAGAAAAGGAGTTCAGAGAAACTCTGGACGTAAAATTAATGAGCGATAAACAAGTCATACTCTTTACCGGTAAAGACCCGCGTCACTGGACAAAATTAATATTCATCCTCTGTGGAGTATATTATAAGAACGGAACTAACACAATAGTGCACAGAGACGGACGGCCACTGGGCCTGCCTTTGTTGAAATATACAGCGAGAATTCTGAGAAAATTCCCTCTCTGTGGAGCATTCCCATACGAATTTGAACAGCACACACTCACTGAATGGATAGATCACCAGTTGCGCTACATACGGAAAACTATTCAACCAGCGCTCAACAGAGCGACAAAATCCAGCAGAGCGAGAGAGTCAACTGAGGTGAGCCAAAATGAGCTTGTCTATCTCTGGAAACATCGTAGAGGTAAAGCCATTGACATCATCTTAAATAATAGTACTCACCCGATTCCTCCTCCTGAATTCTATGTTAAGAAGTGTGGACCGAGGCAGCAGCATCACCAGCGCGACAGCCCCCCATGGTGTGGCATCCTTGGCCCGGTTGATATCAACACACAGCCCAGAACTTCCAACTTCACCACAAATGAAATCACAGAAGTGCTTCTCAGCCTTCCCAACAACAAGGCTTGTGGAGCTGACGGGGTAACTTATGAAGTGCTTAAAGCGACAAAACACTTTACAGCAACGACGTTAACACAGATTTTCAATGTCTGCCTAATCAATGGAAAAGTTCCTGATTTGTGGAAAGGAGCCATCATCCACAGGATTCCCAAGAAAGACAACATTCCGGAAGACCCCTCCACCTGGAGGGATATATCACTGCTGCCCTCCATTTACAAGGTATTTATGAAATGCATTTTAAATCGTATTCTGCCTTGGTTTGTGGATTCTGGTATACTATCAACAAAGCAAAAAGCATATATAGAGAGGCAAGGAATGAACAAACATGTTTTCTGTTTGAAGACTGCTATTGATGACTTTAAACACGAGTCCTCTCGCTTTTTTGCTGTGTTTCTTGACTTTCGGGATGCTTTTGGGTCTTTACCTCATAGTGAAATGATTCGCTCTCTTGAAGAGATAAAACTGCCAGAGCAGTACAGACTGATAGTTAAGGATGTATATGAGAAATCTTTTATACAAGTAATGTGCGGACAGCAATTGACAAAACCCATAAAGCTCGCAGTTGGAATTAAAACAGGCTGTCCTTGGAGCGCAGTGAATTTTATTCTGGCATTAAACCAATAGCTGAAATGGATCTGCCTCCTCGCCCCGCCCGATGTAATATCTCCGAATCCCGTCCAAGCCTACGCAGATGACGTCGTCTTAGTGTCAAGAGAGGAAAATGTCATTACCAATATGTTGTCAGACACTGACCGCTTTCTGCAGTGGTCTGGACTCGAGGTGAAGAACAGCAAGTGCGCAGTGTTTTATGAACGCCGATCCGGCGGCAACAGGTGGTACAGAGCCAAATATGACCATCCTCCTGTGTTCACAATCTCAGGAAATGCGATCAGAGTTTATGCCAGACATGAGACTTATAGTTACCTTGGACATAAATTTAACGTAGCTGGAGAATGGCAAGAACAACTGAATGAAACCTGCAATGAATATTTTAGCAGACTGGACAAAATAGATCGCTGTCCCCTACCAGCCTGTCTAAAACTCCAAGCAGTTCGTGAGATCGCTCTCTCCAAAATACAACATCTGTTTGCTAACGTACACATCTCAAAGAAAGCTTTAAAGCAAATGAATGATAAGGCTGTGCAGCTGGCACGAAAATGGCTATGTCTTAATACACACACGACAAGAAGTATTTTATTCACTAATAATACAGAGGGCGGACTCGGGTTTCCCAATATCGAGTGGATCTACACAGCTACTAGGATAAACCATCTATTGCACATGTTGAACAGCGATGACCCGACAGTACAAAGGCTAGCCCGGAGCTCACTCCTTCTGGATCTGGACAAACGCAAGGTGCCATATGCAGCTGAAGGAGAAACAAGTTTCTTAGGATTCAGAAAGAAACTCAATGGTAGGCTGGATACAGCGTCTGTGGGATTTGGAGTGCGCTCAGACTGGCCGGACCTGAATGACTTGTGCAGCAGCAATAACATACAGCTGAGCTGGAGGAACACGAGCGGACAGCAGGTGAAAGTCAGCGATGAGGCGATCATGGACATTGATAACACATCTGCTGAAGCAACTTTAGATAATGGTGGAGAAAAGAAGGAGCTGAAGGGCAGGACGTGCAGGTATGAGATTCTCCAGCACTTTTACACACAGCAGCGCAGTTACTGGACTCATCTGCGGCTGCAGGGCAAACTGGCCTGCCTGCAGAGCGCGGATCACACAGTCTCACACACTGCGCTACACAACCCCGCTATTGACCACACTATTCTTAAGTTTGTCATTAGAGCTCGTTTACAAACACTTCCTACAAAGTTTAATCTGTCCGTGTGGTACCCGAAACACCACGAGCCCTTCTGTTTATTACATAGCGATAGAACGGTGGAATCAACAGCGCACATAATGAACGGCTGCCCCGCGTTCAGAGGCATGTACATCACACGTCACGATCGCATTGTGAACATCACAGCTAAAGAGGTTGACAGACTCAGTGTGCACAGTGCACTATACACTAACAAGACTGTACGAATGAACTGGTTTCCATCACTGAGCAGTAATGCACATGTTCTGAGTGCTGTCATTAGAGATTCTCCAAACACTCCTGATATTGTTGTTGTGAATGAAGTACTGAAAAACATTCTGATTATGGAAGTAGGCTGTTGTTTTGACTCATACATGGATCTGTGCTATTCAGAAAAAATGCTGAAATATCAACCATTAGTGAATGCTCTGAAAGTGTGTGGCTACAACACTAAGTTGGTGGTTTTAATTTACGGTAGCCTTGGGCATGTTCATAAACTATGTGTGAGAGGACTACAAATTGCCGGACTCAGTAAAAAAATCTCTAAACAAATTGCAAAGTATTGTTCTGTATCTGCAATAATAGGCAGTCTTCATGTGTGGAGAAGACGATGCCATCTCTATCCTTAATCCATTTACTTAATACTGCACATAGAATGGATTGAGTGTCTAGTGCCACGCAAAAGATCATCAATGGTTGCATGCTGCTTTTATTGTGAAACATTATGGGCTCCTTACGATTATTTGGATGCTGTGTTGTTTTAATAGTATTAGTCATTCCAAATAAAATGAATCAAATGTGTGTGTGACTACTATTACAAACAGCAATGTCTATATATATATATAGAATTTGAATGAACAGATAGCTGAAGTGCTTCAATAGTCTGTTGAGTCCTGGAATTAGCATGTAAGCTAACAAATCACTCATATTCTCATTCACAATAGAGATACTGGGTTTCCCATACACAGATTTATTTGTAGTAATGTGGGAGTTTTCACATGAACATTTCTTCAAAGGAAACCAAATTTGTGCACATTGCACACTGCAATCAAATGGTCTGCACTGAAAAAAGAATTAGAAAGATTAGGGAGGAGAAAATGTTTGGGGAGATGCAGAAAAAACTGTCCTACACCCTTAGATTGTGTTTTTGATTATTCACATTGTTTGATTGTCACTCCCTTAAACAAACACCGATTTGCCTCCAATTTTGGGCTTTTGTCTGCAGTGTCACAAAACTTGGTGGTGAATAAAAATCCACCTAAACTCGGCCGGTGTGAACTTGCAATGACAGTGAGAGACTGATGCAGACTCCATAAAGCCCTGTTTAGACTACATAATGCCATTTGCCAGTTACCACAGATCAGATTTGTGTCAGATTATGAGATTTTGACTTGATCAAATCTTGATGTGTTGTGGGTAACAAATGAAGACTTTGGCTTCAAAACACTACACATTTATTTTGATGGACTGATTTTAGAAAAGAAACTAGTTTTCTTCATGAAAACAATTAAACTTTCTGTAAACAACTGGTTTTCAGTTCATAATAACTTGAAACACATATAGAGTTATTTTGCTTTATTGCAGCCCTGTAGAAACTCTCACAACCTGGCACATCTTCACCCCTCTTCAGTTATTGAGTTTAAATCTTCAGGTTCAAAGGGTTTCATTCCAGTAACTTGAGATGTATTCAAGAGTTCACACTTGTCCCGAGATGCTATCCCGGGTGAGAGCCTTAAGCTCCGCTGGACAAGGCCTCATTTTTGCTCTCCATTGTGAAGCTTCATGTGATTGATGAGGCTTCTTTTATGTTTAAAGCCCTTTCCACACTCACTGCATCGAAAACGCTCGCCTGAGTGAATCTTCATGTGTTGCTTTATGGAGTCTTTGCATGTGAGACTCTTTCCACACTGATCACATGTGGTTCCAGTGTGACCATTCGTGTGATTCATGAGCCTAGCTTTGGTTGTGAAGCTCTTTCCACAATGAGCACATGCAAACGGCTTCTCTCCAGTGTGACTTATCATGTGGTGATCGAGTGTGTTTTTACATCTGAAACTTTTACCACACTCTGTGCATGTGTAAGGTTTCTCTCCAGTGTGAATCCTCATGTGGATTTTAAGGTTTTGTTTTTGAGAAAAACCTTTCCCACACTGTGTGCAAAGAAAGCTTCTCTCTCCAGTGTGAGTTCTCATGTGGACTTCAAGGTTGCCATTTTGCTTATAGCTCTTTCCACACTGGAGGCAAGAGTAAGGCTTCTCTCCAGTGTGAATTCTCATGTGCGCTGCCAAGTTTCCTGTAGTATAGAAGCTTTTCCCACACTTTTGGCATGCATACGGCCTCTCTCCAGTGTGAATTCTCATGTGCACTGTTAAGTTTCCTATAGTATAGAAGCTTTTTCCACACTGTTTGCAGGTGTAAGGTTTCTTCCCTGTGTGAACTCTCATGTGAACATCAAGGTTTGACCTTTGACTGAAACTCTTTCTACACCGTTTACAGCTGAAATTACACCCAGATTTGGATTTCCGAGGTCTTCCGCGTGATGAAGTCTTTTTAGTGAGTGTGGGTTTTTCATCAGTTGTTATTTCTTGGTGTTTTTTTTCTTCCATTTCATTCCATTGATGAGTCTCTTCTTTCAGCACCATCAGGTCTTTAAAAAAAGAACAAAAAAAGTGAACTTTAGTATAAAAGCACAAAGTGGTAAGCATGACATGGATATTTACCCCAAATATTAAAGGGACTCTACTATTTACTCTCCATCATGTGCTTTTAAACATTTCCTTTCTTCTGGAACACAAAGTAAGCCAGCGTTTTTATCACAATATCTTATTTTGTGTTCAACAGAATCAGGAAACTCATCAAGGTTTAATACCACACAATGGAAAGTCAATGGTGAGGCTATTTACATTTCTGGGTCAGAAATACCTTTAAAGAGTTCCTATTATGAACCTTTTTTTACAAGATGTAAAGTAAGTCTTTAGTGTTCCTAGAATGTGTCTGAGGTTTCAGCTCAAAATCAGATCATATACCTTGCAGAATATTTCATTTCGGAGGTCAGAGAAAAACCAAGCTCTTTTTGTGCCTGTGGCTGTAAATGCAAATGATCAAATGCTCTAGATTACTTATGTTGTGTTCCCTCATGTGCATCTCTTTCTTGGAAAACCTGATTGACACAAATCCTGCATGTTCATAGCAAGTGCGCATAATTCAGCTTATATTAGTGAGTTTGCATTATTGTATATAACTTATGCAAATGTTCTCCGGTACTGGTTTGCAGCTGGACAGGCATCCGCTGTTTAAAGCATATGCTTGATAAGTTGGTGGTTCATTCCACTGTGGCGACCCCTGATGAATAAAGGGAGTAAGCCGAAGGTAAATGAATGAATGAACTTGTGCAAATGCTTAATGCCATGTTTGCTGTAAATTGAAGTGATGAGAATATGGCAAGATGACATACTTTGCTACTGGTATTCATTCATTTGTACTTTTGTTTTTGTTTTCTTGCCTTTGTGCATGTCCTGAGGCTTAGCTGAAGACCTACATGATGACATTTTATATACCTGACAAAATGCAGAAATGCCATTTAAAAAACAGGTTATCTGCTGTTTGTCCAATCAGGGACAGTGACAATGTAAATATACAAATAATATTGTTAACCCGGTGTTTGCGAATGTGAACTGTCTGTTAATGAACACCCAGGATTATTTTATAACCCCAGGTATAGCATGAGCAGTGTGAAACGTATTTACAGGTAACCCAGGATTCTGTTTATCCAGGGTTAGAATGACCCAGGGTTAACAATTTCTGTGAAAATTCCTAAGAATACTCAGCATCAGCTCTCAGAATAGACGTAGTACAACGACAAACAGCAACATATAAACATTCTCAATCATGTCATAGTGACCTGATCTCATTTGCTATTGATTTAAAACTTACAATTCAGTTGCCTATTGGAGAAATGACCTGGAATAATAAACGGCTATACATGTTCATGACTATACATACAAAGAAAAATAAGAAAATAAGAAAATATAACTTTGCAACATCAAGCAGCATTAGGCATGGGCCAGTATAAGATTCTGATGGTATGATAAGCTTGAATAAAAATATCACGGTTTTGAGGTACTGAGATTACTGCTCTAAAATATATTATTTTTAAATGTCTGGGTGGCGAGGCAGTGGCGCAGTAGGTAGTGCTGTCGCCTCACAGCAAGAAGGTCGCTGGGTCGAGCCTCGGCTCAGTTAGTGTTTCTGTGTGGAGTTTGCATGTTCTCCCTGCGTTTGCTAGGGTTTCCTCTGGGTGCTCCGGTTTCCCCCACAGTCCCAAGACATGTGGTACAGGTGAATTGGGTAGACTAAATTGTCCAGAGTGAATGTGTGTGGATGTTTTCCAGAGATGGGTAGCGGCTGGAATGGCATCCGCTGCATAAAAACTTGCTGGATAAGTTGGTGGTTCATTCTGCTGTGGCGACCCTGGATTAATAAAGGGACTAAGCCGACAAGAATATGAATGAATGAATGAATGTCTGGGTAAAAAACAAAAACTTTATATTACAATATATTTTCTTTTGAGTCTTTTTTCTTTTTTTGTCAGGCTAAAAAATTTAAATGAATCATTGACTTCTGCTGTCTTCATTAGTTTCAAAAACACATTTCTTTACGATTAAAAATGACATCTTTTATCTGCTGGAGATACTGTTGTTGTGAAAAAAAAAACAAAAAAAAAACTTAGATATACTGTAGGAATGGTACAGAAGAAAATATTGGCCGTTTTAAAACTTTGATTTTTCCAAACGGCATACCTTGAAAGCAGTTATTGTCTCATGCCTAAGCAGCATAACACTGTTTTTATGATGGATAAATTAATTCTTTAAAAAAAAAAAACTCAAGTAAAAAGACTCCAATGGCGCAGCCTGCTGGTTCGTGAAGAATATGGTCAATACTGACAAATTTTTCACTCAAATGTTTGCATATCATCAGCATGCTGTAATCCATTTCTTAAGCAGAAAAAGTCATTTTTAGACTAGTTTGTTGGCCAGTTGTAGTCAGTGCAATGCTAAACATTTTTGTTCCACAATAATTTGTTTGGTTTGTCACGCGTCATCCCACAGCAACATCATATAGTTTAAAATACTGTACAATGTTTTATAACAATTATTTGGCCCAGATGAAAAAGATTTTATTTGCTCTATCAAAAAAATAATATAATTTAATACATTTAATAATACAATAATAAATGAATAATAAAATTAAAATGTTTTAGATATTTCTTTCAAATGATTTTAAATACCGTGTAAAATGGCCCAGATGGAAAAGATTTTTATTTGCCCTATCAAAAATATAATAATTTTAATAATACAATAGTAAATGAATATTAAATTTTTTATGTATATATTTTAGATATTTCTAGCAAGATTTAAAATTTTGTGTAATAAAAAAAACTTTTTTTTCCAAAATAAACTTTATTTAAAATAAAAAAACAAATGGACAAATGTTTTAAAAGTTTTAAAAACTATAATAAACTAAACCTGTGCAAAACACAGGTCTGTCCAGGTCAATGTCCTTAGCAGTAAATACATGAAGCACATTTAAACAAATGTTATTGTAAGGAAAATAATTAAAGCATTTTAATAAATAATTTAAAACAAGTTAAAATGACCTTTTTGAATAATAAGATAAAATTTTTATTGAGTTGGATTGATGGTGATTGTATGGGTTTTGGCCAGATTGGGTAGAAAAACATGAACCTTAATTAAAGACCAAAGGAAAAATGAAGACTTGTTTATAAAAGATTTAAGACCTACAGCACAACATTTCAGTAAATTTAAGACTTTTTAAGACTCCAAGGAAACCCTGTTTAAACACAATAGCCCTGGTCAATAGTTATTATAATAATGATGTAATTCTAATTCAGATACTATCTGTGAGAATTAGTAACAACTACTAGAAACAAGTTTAAACCCATGAAGAAGTTGATGAAAAAAGGGGAATTGTGATCAACGTGACATATGCAAACATATTCTGTCTTTCAATGAGTGCTTTTGTGCGTTTAGGAGAACTAGGCAGCACACTCAGGGCTGCAAGATGGATTAAATTTAGTATTCTTATTAATAAAATATATCTGAATGAGGATCAGATGAATGAGTTGGTCTTTGAGGCCCCATTTACACTAATGCATTTTCGTTTTAAAATGCATAAGTTTTGCTACGGTTATGCCATCTGCCACACTACGCCGGAGTTTTCGAGTGCCGAAAACGAGCGTTTTGGAAACGCTGAACAGGCCGTTTTCATTCTGAAACGCTGCTGCTCCGTCTCAGTGTGGATGGGGAAAACAGAGACATCTGAAAACGGAGGCGGGGCTGCCGACATTCGCCTCTCTGATTGGGGCTTTTCCTCAATATTAAGTAGCCTAACTTTACACACAGTTCAGTCCTGCATTCTCTTCTAGTAAGTTCAGACTTCGCAAGTTTGATCAAGGCTGCAGTCTCTTCTTCTCAGTTTGATATGGAAAAGCAGACTATACCGAGGACACGGGTAAATCTTCAAAGGGAACAGTGTACTTTATAACTTCATTCACATCATCCTGGCTACGTTGTTTCACTTTCTCAACAATAAAATGAAAACAAGTTTTAAGGAACTGCCTATTTTCATTTTGATATTAGCAACTTAACAGACAGCAGAAATGTTGAGGCGTTGTGCTGCATTTATGAGCGTTATCTTCACTGTGTGGATATTAATAACAAAACGGAGCCTATAACAACTGCCTCTTTTCAATTTCAGTGAAAATACGAAACTTACCCTCTCATTTGCTGAATATCAGTTTTAATAATCGATAATGGCCATTATAAAAGTATAACATACAATAAGTTGATACATTATAGGAAATAAAGGCAAGCGATCTGTCAATATACAGAATGTAGGCTACGTGGTTACATTATCATTAACTTATCTTTGCGCTTAGCCAAAACACGTTACCTGAGAACAAGTAATAGATTCCAATGACCAAAGTCGGGTAATATGTCATTAGATAAAGACAACAAGATGAATGAAATATCACGTTTAATAAATATAGGGAGATTAGATCCAGCGGGAGATGCTTGATGAGCAGTCCGACGAGCACAGCTCTCATTTTTATAGATATTCTGCAGCGCTTGCCCGAGAGTGTGTGTGTGGTTACGTGTTGTGCGTTTTCAGCGTTTTGGTGTGGACAGAGAGCTGTTCAGAAACGCTAGGTGAAATGCTAGTGTGGACATCGTTTTAAAACTAAAACGCACAAGTGTAAAAGAGGCCTGATAATAAAAAATCAACCTGTTTGTTCCTGCAGATCTTCCTGTTTGACTCTGAATGTGTCTTCAATTTTCACATCTTCACTCTCCTGTTTAATAAACGCCATCTTTAAAACAGTGTGGAGATCAGTCGATTCTGGAGGAGTTTTTCTCTGTGTTTGGACACTTTATTC